TCGACATGCCCCCCCGTGACGAAACGGTGACTCTCGAGTGTACCCCTGTGCTGACTGGGTTCACTTCCCGCACGCTTGCCCACGCTTCCGCATGTCTCTCTCGCTCTGCGGGTCGTAAGAATACTACCCGTCCTCCATTTCGTGAATCGCTTCGTTCTGTTTTCGCACGAACGTCCGTTTGCGACTCATACGTATTAGCTAGGGAGATCGATAAGCCAGTGACTACAAATTGGTGAGCCTTCTTATTTAATTTGATGTACGTTGGAAATATTTTTTTGAGAAAATTTAATTTATCTAGGTCACATTCCTCTCCGCATATATATTTTTACAGATCCGCTCTTGTTCATATAATTTTAGATTATATTTATTTCTAGATTGGGCTTTAACAGTCATTTACGATCCGATTTTGCCATTTTCGTATTCTGAACGTACCTTTTTCTCGCCGGCGAAATGCTGTCATTTTTAAAATCGTTTCCACAATCTCATGTTTAATTACGCCATAGGACCCGGAGGCATTCCTCGCACTTCTGAAATCGCTATTCCACGAAGCCCGCATCACCGGACAACTATCACGATACCATAAGCTGTTGTCCGCAATCCCGCGTTATATGTTTAGCAACTTCAGCGATATCTACATAAATATCCCCGCGCATAAGCCGTACGATATACTCAAAGAAGCACTCCTTTGTCGTATGGCGGTTACAGAAGAGGAGCGCATCCAGCTTCTCCTGTCAGAGATCCAATTGGGAAATCTTAAGTCATCCCAGTTGCTGCGTCAAATGCATGCGTCGGTCGGCAAAAACACGCTCGACGATTCAGTACTTTCGATGTACGTCCAGAGTATTCTGAACGTTTTTGCTCACGCCCATAACCTAGACCAACTAGCTGCTGCCCGAGCCATGGAGCAGGCTCAGCTTTTCCAACCTTCACTGGTGAACGCTGGGAGCCCGGAGCCAATCATCTTTCAGCAGACGTTCTCCAATCCTACTCAAGGTAAGCTCCCTACGAGCCCATGACAGACGTGCAGCTTTTGTCTAATCAGTTAGTCGACCTTCGCTTAGCTATGGCCACTATGCAGACCACCATCAACAATCTGAAGACTACCCGCACGACCCGTAGTCGTTCGCGGTCAATCAACGGGCGCAGGCGAATCCCATCTTGGGACGGTCTGTGCTATTACCACAGACGCTTCGGCATCCAAGCTAGGAAGTGCAAACCTCAGTAGTCGTTCAAAACCAACCAGGGAAAATAACAGGCCGGCAGGTCATGGCAACTAACCCAACCGGCTCTCCCACTCCTTGTCGGTAGTGGTGTGGCATCCGAACTATTAGGATTTCTAAAAACGATAGATTTTTAAATGTATTTTAGGAACAGAGATGTCGAACTCAGCCGAAATGGAACAGATTTTGCTTTTAGCTGATTCTGAGTGATTTGTTAAAATTTAATTTGTTTTAATTAACCTTAATTGACTTTGCCCGGAAGGTATAAATAACTCAACCTAATGACGCCAATCAATTCCACGTTCATATCAACCATGGCTCATGTTGATGATACGGTCGTTTTTGAACGGATTGNGGACGGATTCTTGGAGGACTTCCGTGAATTCCAAAGAGTTACTTGCACTTCCTTCTACGTTTATGCGTCAATGACAGCCGAAAAACTGATGCGGAGTAGAAATTTTGGTCGGAAACTGGCACTGCCTGAAGGATTTCCGTACTATTTCATCAAACATTCCTGTGTACATCACAGAAGGCGCGGCGCAACTGCAACCAGGTAATTGTGCCTATAATTTCTAATGTAATTAACCCATTTTAGGCTGCAGAATATCGAGTGTCCGGCATTCGTTGGAATTCGCGCGGTCGGGAGGGAGTACCGAGTGATGAAACGTTGTCTGGTACACAACCATAACTTCCATGTGGGTCAGCGGGGTTTGTATATAATTAATCGTCGACTATCTGGAGAACAGGAAGAGGAAATGTGTGTTGATTCTGGAGGACCCGTCTCGAACGAGTTACGCGTGCGTCAGTATTGATACGTC